GTCTACAGGGATATACTTTGGTTGTGTCTACAGGGATATACTTTGGTCCTCTCGGTATCAGCAACTGGGTATTCCGAGCACACCAAAGGTCGAGCATGCGGACTACTGGCATACAGTCTCCAGATCCATGGCTAGGGCTTTCAGCCTCCCAGTGGGGCTTGGGTGTCCCAGGATTACAACTGATCTCTCAAATACAGAGATCAGTTCCCCAGCAGAATGTGGAGGCTTGGGAGGATTGGTTCAAGGGCATTATATCCCAAATCTCTCCCTCCCCAGTCTCCAGCCCCATATCTCGAGGACTTTCTCAACCTGGAGTTGGCAACCCTACCCATGGTGAAATTAATGCATTCCTAAATGATTAGTGATGCAGGAGAGTTGGCGTTTTGAGTCTCTGCTGCAGTTAGCGCCAGTTGTCCCGAGACCTAAGGACAGGCGTCCTACTTGGACACTGAGCAAAGTTTGAGTCCAGTGGCACCTTAGAATCATAGAGCTGGAAGGGACCTCCAGGGTAATCGAGTCCAACCTCCTGCACAAGGCAGAAAGTTCACAAATACCTCCCCCCCACACACACACCCCACCAGTGACCCCTGTTCCACGCCCAGAAGATGACAAAAAACCTCCAGGATCTCCAGCCAAACTGGCCTGGAGAAAATTGCTGCCTGACCCCAAAGTGGTGATTAGCAATTCCCTGGGTGCAGGGGTCATTTCATAGAAAAAGAGGAGCAGGAGCTCATTAGCATAACTCATTAGCATAACTTATTTGCATATGCCACACCCCCTGACATCACCGGAAGTGTGTCAGAAGGCAACACCCACCGCTCAGGCTCCACTGGACTCTTTTGGATTGCCAGCTATTGGGCGGGGGGACATGCAGATCTGCCCTCACAGAGGAGGGAGAGCTTGTGCCTGAATAAAACTTGGTCTTAAAGGTGCCACTGGACTGTTTTCGACCGGGGGGGGGGGCTCTACAACTTACCCGGCTGCTTCTTGCTCTGACTGAGGGCTGCTGGGAGCAGGGGGCGGGGCTTGTTGCATGTGCCCGCCCCCCGGGCTCTTTACTGCCGGAGCTCTGCTCCTGTGTGCTCCTGCAGGAAATGACCCCTGCCTGGGTGTGTAAGAAAGGGCCACGCTTCGCGAGAACTAAGCTCTGAGGCGGTCCTCCCTGCCCTCCCTTCCTCCTTCAAGACCAACACACTTTTATTCTGGGTACAAGCTTTCATATGCATGCACAGTTCTTCAGATACACGAGCATGCACACAACAGCCGATACCCAGAATCAAACTGTGTTGGTCTTGAAGGTGCCACTGGACTCAATCTTTGCTCCACTGCTTCAGACCAACACGGCTACCCTCCTGAATCGATATTTAGACACTGATCAGTGTTTTTGACCTGACCTGGATGACCAAGGCTATTCCAATCTTGTCAGATCTCGGAAGCTAAGCAGGGTCAGCCCTGGTTACTCTATCGATGGGAGACCTCCAAGGAAGTCCTGGGTTGCTAATCAGAGGCAGGCAATGGCAAACCACTAATGTCCATCTGTTGCCTTGACCTGGATAGCCGAGGCTACCCTGATCTCATCAGATCTCAGAAGCTAAGCAGGGTCGGGCCTGATTAGTACTTGGATGGGAGACCACCAAGGAAGCCCAGGGTTGCTATGCAGAGGCAGGCAATGGCAGAACCACCTCTGTTTGTCTCTTCCCCTGACCTGGATAGCCGAGGCTACCTTGATCTCATCAGATCTCAGAAGCTAAGCAGGGTCGGGCCTGATTAGTACTTGGATGGGAGACCACCAAGGAAGCCCAGGGTTGCTATGCAGAGGCAGGCAATGGCAGAACCACCTCTGTTTGTCTCTTCCCCTGACCTGGATAGCCGAGGCTACCTTGATCTCATCAGATCTCAGAAGCTAAGCAGGGTCGGGCCTGATTAGTACTTGGATGGGAGACCACCAAGGAAGCCCAGGGTTGCTATGCAGAGGCAGGCAATGGCAGAACCACCTCTGTTTGTCTCTTCCCCTGACCTGGATAGCCGAGGCTACCTTGATCTCATCAGATCTCAGAAGCTAAGCAGGGTCGGGCCTGATTAGTACTTGGATGGGAGACCACCAAGGAAGCCCAGGGTTGCTATGCAGAGGCAGGCAATGGCAGAACCACCTCTGTTTGTCTCTTCCCCTGACCTGGATAGCCGAGGCTACCTTGATCTCATCAGATCTCAGAAGCTAAGCAGGGTCGGGCCTGATTAGTACTTGGATGGGAGACCACCAAGGAAGCCCAGGGTTGCTATGCAGAGGCAGGCAATGGCAGAACCACCTCTGTTTGTCTCTTCCCCTGACCTGGATAGCCGAGGCTACCTTGATCTCATCAGATCTCAGAAGCTAAGCAGGGTCGGGCCTGATTAGTACTTGGATGGGAGACCACCAAGGAAGCCCAGGGTTGCTATGCAGAGGCAGGCAATGGCAGAACCACCTCTGAATGTCTCTCGCCTTGAAAACCCTTGAGAATGGCTGCGACTTGCTGGCATTTCCCACCAATGTGATGCGTGCACATCTGGTTCTGCCAAACGCACCCGCCTCCAGACCTTCAGGGGTTTCACAAGACAAAGCTAGCAACCCTATTACTGCCTCATTTCTGTTTCTGAGAGTCCGGAAATGTATCTAATATGTTTTGCAGTCCAGTGGAAAGTCTAACAGAGACAAAGTGAAAACTGGGGGGGAAAGCATACCAACTGCAGCAATTATAGCTTGCAGCTATCTCAGGCGAACAGGAACTGCGAACTGAATCCCAGAGCAATTAAAAAAGATTTGAGATAAGCATACAGCGCCGGCTAATGGCCCGACACCTGTCCCGTCGGCGACCCAGAAGAGTTTGAAATGGCCAGTGGCCCCGTCTCTTTGCATTAATGGATGTACCGGCCAAGGGATTTTCTGTTAAAGCCCCAGTTGCTCTGAAATGGAAATGGGCCTTGTCTGAGATACATTTAGGAACCAGCGGAGGCTGTCTGGGAGACATTGGAAGGAATGGAAATCCCTTTGGACGGCATCCGAATCTACAAGAATATTAAAATTAAAGGTAAAGGTTTCCCTTGCTCGAAAGCCAGTCGAATCCGACTCTAGGGATGCGGTGCTCATCTCTGTTTCCAAGCTGAAGAGCCACTGCTGTCCGAAGACTTCTCCTTGGTCATGTGGCTGGCATGGCTACACGCCAAGGCACACAGAACGCTGTTACCTTCCCACCAAAGCAGGGTAATTTCTTGCTTTTGAACTGCTAGGTTGGCAGGAGCTGGGACCAGAGACGGGAGCTCACTCTGTCACGCAGCACTTGGGTCTCAAACTGCTGAACTACCGACCTTCCGGTCTGCAGCCCAGAGTCTTAACCGCTGAGCCACTGCAGCCCCTAACAAGAATATTACCCAGAGCCATTTCTCATTTGTAAGGTGGGCCCCGCCATTTTGAATTCTGCCAAGGTGCAGTGTGTCGTGTGTAGAGGTACCTGCAGGTAGTTATGTACGTATACAGTTATATATAGTTGTATACAGTTTGGTGTAGTGGTTAGGAGTGTGGACTCTAATCTGGGAGGACCGGGTTTGATTCCCCACTCCTCCACTTGCAGCTGGCTGGATGACCTTGGGTCAGTCACAAGTTCTTTCAGAGCTGTTCTCTCTCGAGCAGTTCTCCAAAGAGCTCTCTCAGCCCCACCTACCTCACAGCTGCAGTGTTCCCTCTAAGCTGAGTGAGTGTGAGCTAACTCACAGTTCTTTAGCTTCCAGCTCACACATTTTTGTCTTGGCTCAGGAAGGGATGGCCCCAGAGCAAACTACTTTATGCAGTAGCCAAATCGCTCGCTCACAACTTTAAAGCCAGTGGCTCACAAAGTAGGATTTTTGCTCACAAGACTCCATGGCTTAGAGGGAGCATTGCCACAGGGTGTCTGTTGTGGGGAGGGGAAGGGAAAAGAGATTGTAAGCCGCTCTGAGACTCCCTTGGGTAGTGAAGGGCGAGGTCTAAATCCAATCTCTTCTCCTCCTCTTCTTCTTCTCCTTCCTTAATACCCCCCTTTTTGTCCCCACTGGGTTCTTGTAGGCGCTACAGTTTTATCGTTATTGGAATTCAAGATGGCCACCCCCCCAAGAAAGTGTTTCTCTTCCTAGATCCTGTCCGGGGGTGTTAATCTCCTAAGCGTTCTTATCTGTTTTATTTATTTACTTCACTTATGCCGCACTTTTCACCCGACATTCTCCCCGTTATCCTCCCAACAACCCAGTGAGGTAGCTTAGACTGAGAGAACGTGACCGGCCCAAGGAGTGACTTCAGGCTTCCAGGGCTGAGCAGGGATTCAAACCTGGAGCTCCCAGATCCGAGTCCAACACTCTAACCACTACACCAAGCTAGAATCCTTGCGGTGTCCCTGCATTCCTCTCTTTCACAGATTTCACACCCATGTCGTTCACTTCTGTTCTACTGACTTCGAACTCCACGTCCGTCAGACCTTTGAGGACGTAGCACAAAGATATTGGCGTAACTGTTATTGCCCCTCCTGCCTGTTTTTGGTATTTCGTGTTTATATGTTCGTATGCTGGTGTTGAATTATATTTGGGGGGGTAGCATTTTGTGTGTGTGTGCGTGTGCTCGTGCCTGGAAGTCATGGCGACTTCGGGAGACTCCTACTGGGGCATGGAGGATGTTCAGAGAAGTAGCTTGATAGCCTGCCTCTGCCTCCCAGCCTTGGTATTCCTTGGAGGTCTCCCATCCAAATACTTTCCAGGGCTGGCCCTGCTTCACTTCCAAGATCTGACGAGATTGGTCTTGCCTGGACTATCTAAGTCAGGGCTTGTTGAATTATTTTATATACTATTTTGAACTCTGTTTTAATGCTCAAATGTTTTCACATTCTGCACCTTCCTTGCAAACCCCATACAAGTGGAAAGGTGGCATAACATCGGTTTCAAGAGATAGAATAATAAACAAAGACATTAACGCCTTCCTGGGTTTCTTTTTCCTGTTCTAGGACATACAACTTGACTTTCCTGCAGCCGTATTACCGGACGGATGAAGGAGACGACAATCCGTTCATCTGTTCATCCCACCGGGACAACGGCATGCAGAAGTGTTCCAACATCCCCAACCGGAAGGAGTATAAGGTGGAATGTACTTTGAGCATGGACTCGTACAACCCCAATACGTACACGCTGGATTTCAGCCACCGGAACTCCTGCATAAACTGGAACCAGTATTACAACATCTGCAGGGCGGGGGATTTCAACCCGCACAATGGAGCTATTAATTTTGATAATATTGGCTATGCTTGGATAGCTATTTTTCAGGTAAGGGTCCTTTGGTTTCCCCCATTCTTGTGCGGACGTCGGGGTGTGTTTGAGATGTGACTTCAGCTTCCGTCGGATAAAAGCAGTCCTCGAGTGTTGCGTTTGCCGTTGGCGAAAGAGGCAAAGAAAGAGTCAATTTGTTGTTTTGTAAGATCGTGTTGGCCGGGCCGTTGCTGTCCTTCCTTTCATTTTGACAGCTGTTGGGAAACAACTGCATGCTGGTGGAGAATTCTGTGATATCTATGAGGCTGCATGTTTATTTCTATACAGTTTGCCGGACAACAGTGGCATCTTATATCTAAGGTCCTTTCCACACTAGACCTTAAATCCTGGTTCAACCCTGTCCCCAAACTTATATTCTACACTACACACGAGTTCACCCCTCTAATTATCTTGGGGTATTTTTACATTCTACACTACACTCAAGTTCACCCCTGTAATTATCCCGGGGCATTTTTTGTTTCCACATTACATTAAGGTCACCCCGGTTTCGCCCCACACTTGTCCCAGGATAAACAGATGCTGTTATAACCAGGGATAAATGCCAAGGTATCATATCCCGATTTGAACTCTGATAAAACCAAGGATGAGATCCAAGTGCGGAAAGGATCTAATAGTCAAGTGCGGCCTAATTTACAGATACTTAAATCTGCAGATTGGGGCCACATTGACATAAAACAGATAATTCTGCAAACTTGGGAGACACCCCCCCCCCCAGGTTTGCAGAAAAATCTGAAAACCTTAAAAATTACATTTGGGGGTTTAAATCCCCCCTCCAAAAAAAAACAAGTGTCGCCTGTGCATGTGGTGACAATGGACTTATCGCCTGAGTCTTGGAGGAGTCCAGGAGTTGCTCCAGACTCAACTAGAGTAGCCATTCACGTAACACTAGAGATCCAACATCGTGTCTCTCCCAAGCCTTTCTTAAAATTCCCAATTTGGCCATCTGACTCCTTTCAAAACAAAATACCAACACACAGTTCTTGCTACTCGGTATATTTTTATAGCTTCATGATAAGTCCAGTCTTGATAAAGGATTTTTTGAAAAGTTTGTATGTCCGGAAACTTTACTGTATTTTGGACCACCAAATATACACAACGTTTGATCTCTAGTGTTGTGAATGCCTGTTATTGTTTTTCACTGGAAGTCCCTGCGTATCTCCCAGACGCAACTATGACAGCAGTGGTGTCTAGGAGCCATGCCTGGCCTCAGCAGGCAAGGGGGGGATGTGTCTCACAGACACCCAGTTGTGCTTTTTTATTTTTTGGATTCATTCACCTACTCAATGCTATTCCCATTCATTTTCATTATCTGTTATCCTCATGAGCGTAATTACTGGGATTTTTGAAGTCTAGACAGTTTTTAAATTTATTTATTAAATTTCTCACTGAGACTCCAGGCAGATTACACAATTTAAGTCAATGCAAGCAGTTGCACGAGGCATCTAATAAGCAATGTAACGGGACCGGGATTGCTGAAATCCGAAACAAAAAGCAAAGTATCAGACACGACGTCTGGATCGGACACTGCAGAAAGCAGTGTTACATAAGTAGAAAACAGTGCAGTGAGAGCAGGATAATACATACAGGCGAGCAGATAATACATACTAAATAAAGGTAAAGTTAAAGGTTTCCCTTGCTCGAAAGCCAGTCGAATCCGACTCTAGGGATGCGGTGCTCATCTCCGTTTCCAAGCCGAAGAGCCAGCACTGTCTGAAGACGTTTCCGTGGTCATGTGGCCAGCATGACTAAACGTCGAGGCGCACGGAACACTGTTACCTTCCCACCGAAGCGGTACCTATTTATCTACTTGCAATTTCTTGCTTTCGAACTGCCAGGTTGGCAGGAGCTGGGACCAGAGACGGGAGCTCACTCCGTCATGCGGCACTCGGGTCTCGAACTGCCGAACTTCCGACCTTCCGGTCTGCAGTTCAGCATCTTAACCTCGGAGCCACCGCAGCCCCTACATACTAAATACAATGGTATAATTCACTGTCTCGTTCCCTCTGTAAAGTACCCATCCCATGTTCTGGAGGCAACGCTGCTTCTATACATGGGCTTTATTCCTTTGCTGTCAAATAACCAAAGCTAGCTGGTGTGCACTTGAAGACATAGGGTGACCTTAGAGGTCAAATAAGGCAGGCTTCGTAAAATAGGGTCTTTGGCAGAGCTAAGTAGGTTTTGCGAACGTGGGCCCAGAGAGATCCCGTTTAGAGTGCAGTCAGTGACCACTGAAAATGGGAGCGGAGATGATTAACTGCCCTTGGTGTTTAGTCATGCCGGCCACATGACCACGGAAACGTCTTCGGACAGCGCTGGCTCTTCGGCTTTGAAACGGAGATGAGCACCGCAACCCTAGAGTCGAATTCGACTGACTTTCGAGCAAGGGAACCTTTACCTTACTTTATAGGACTTCAAGCGCCACTTATCTATGTCCTGGTATTCCACAGTTCCACACCAACATATGTCGTTAGCGTGTTCAGGGGCAACCCAAAAGCATATCCTTGTGGTCCCGTCTCTGATAAAATCCCCCCTTTTTGCAGCAGCGATCCGCAACCTTGATGCAAGTTGGCTGCCTGGATATCATTTGGGAACTTGCCAGAAGTTTGTTTCTTTGCGAGGAAAGGGGTCACCTTTTCCTTGTGTTTTAGGAAGCAGGGGGTAGCAAGAGGTGGCAGTGCGGGTGGGCAGGCATGCCTTTCTCCTGCTTCGAAAGCCGAGGGGGAGCTCCTGAGGTGTTGTAAGGCTAGCTAATAATGCACGGCTGCACACCACAGTTCAGTGAAGGCAGTGAAGGAGGTGGAGGTGGTTGTGATTGAGACAAATGTCAACGGCAGAGCGTAATTGCCGTTTGATAGAGAGAGGCCTGCCAGAGACGGCAGGAGAGCTGAGCGGATGACGGGAGGCAGCGCACAGGAGCCAAAGGTCGCATGAGTGAGTGTTGCGGAGGCGTAGCTGGGGCCCGGCTTTCTCTCAGCGATACAGAGTCCTCGGGGAGTTGCGCAGATCACAAAGGTGCGAGCAGATCTAGAGAGTCGGATGCGCATGGAACGAGAAAGCCCGGAAACGGGAAATAAGGAACAACAAGCTTGTCTTGTACGGTTTCCGTGGATTGGACTCATGATAAGCGAGGGGGGGGGTAGAGAAGGCCTGGGCTTTTCTGTACCCAGTCTGTAAGCAAATAAGAAGTGTTGCCGGAGGCTTTCACGGCCGGAGTTCATCAGCTGTTGTAGATTTTCCGGGCTGTATGGCCGTGGTCTTGGCATTGTAGGACCTGACGTTTCGCCACCTTGACACAGAGAGTCCTCCATCTTTCTGTGTTATACCTCTGAGGATGCCGGTCACAGCTGCTGCCGAAACAGTCAAATTAAGATTAAGAACTCTAAAAATATTAAAACCATTAGAACACATTAGGTGGTGCCAAAATGAATACAGTCTGCATAACCAGCCCGTAAATGGGAAAAGGCAAAGTGTGTGTGGGGGGGTGCCAGATAAGATGGTACCCATCGCTGTCCTCCACCAAAATTGGTGTGGCCATCCTACCTGTCAAAAGTGCACATGGACACACAGCGTCACCTTGTACCAAGTCCGACCGCCAGTCTATCTAAGCACTGTATTAGTTACTGGTGCTCCAAGGAGAGAGAGATCTTTCCCAAACCTGCCACCTGGGAGACTTTAGCAGGAGAACAAATGTAAAGAAAACAGTCGTGAGAGTTTGACCCACAAATCAAGCAGTCAACAAGACTCGCAAAGAAAATGCTTTCTGTATTTTACGGTCAATAAGCACTACAACACAATGAACGGATTCCTTCAAATCGTAAGAAAATCCTAGTGTAAAAATACATTGTCAACGTCGTCTCCGGATTATATGACAACGTTTCAAAATTGGATCTTCCTCAGGAGATATTAGAGTAGTACAAAAGCTCTCTTGCTCATAAAGCACTTTACCCAAAAAAAATCAGGAAAGATAATACATTCAGATAGGACGCTGATCTCAATAAGTATTCAGGCTCAAATATCAGGTTGTGATCATTGCTCCCTCTAAGCTGTGGAGTCCTGTGAGCAGAAATCCTACTTTGTGAGCTCCTGGCATTAAAGTCGGGAGCGAGCAATTTGGCTGCTGCCTAAATCAGTTTGCTCTGGAGCCCTCCTTCCTAGGCTGAGACAGAAATCTGTGAGCCGGAGGCTAAAAAACCGTGTGCTAGCTCACGCTAACTCAGTTTAGAGGGAACACTGGCTCGTGATTGTCCACATTTGTCTTGAGACTTTAGCAGGAGCCAGTTGTTTCCTGCTGTAGAGGAGGCACATTAACCACTGAAGTGTGGTTCCTCACTTAATATGAAGCTGCCTGATACAAAATAGACCAGGTATCCCCAACATGGTGCCCTCGGGCGCCCTGGCACTCACAGACACCTTTCCTGTTGCCCACCAGGTGTTTTCAGAAAGTGGGTAGGGCTCTTGCCCAACGCAGTATCTGATTGGCCACTGGAGATCTGATTGGCTGTATAGATTGGCTGTGTGAGGCCCTTTCTGCACTGACCGTTTGCTCTGGAGAATCCGAGGAGTTGAGCCTTAAGGGTTGGCTCCGCAGTCTCACGCATTCCCTCTGCACTGTTTCCCCCACCCCTCCAGTTAATTTATTTGTGCATTCTGTGTGCATTCTCCATCTACAAGCAAAACCTGCATTTTTTGAGCTAACTGGCTGCTTTGTCTAAGATGAGGAGAGAGGCAAACCTCTTTCAAATCCTTTAACTACAGATCCAATCCTTCCCTCCCTCCCTCCCTCCCTCCATCTGTGACTCTGCAAAAAGAAAGAGAAGGGAGGGGGGGAATCCAGGCCCACACATGCAAGACTGACACATTTGGGAGCAGGGAATCCCGTCGTCCTTTATATTTACTGACTCCTTCATATGCTCTCTTTGGCTTTTTAAAAGCTTGCCTGAGCAGGAGGACACGTCCTCTTTTGTCTTTCGAGAAGGAGGGGAAAGAAAACAGAACAG